AAGTGATCTTTACGGTAGATTAGGAGACACAAAAGCAGAAATCTACTTAGTTTCTTCAGCAATACTAAGTATATTTTCTTAGTTACATTTTGCAGTTGAGATTGTCTGATAATTTTCGGGATCATCTGATAGTTTATTAACTTTATTCTTAGGTAGAGTTGTTGATGTCAGGTATCGTTCGTTCACTCTACTTCCGTCTTAATTGTCAGATGTTTACCCACCTTGTTAAACTATTTTTTGATCGTAGTCTAGTCTTACTGGAAGTATGATTTTTAGAAAATAATTGTGATCACTTTGGAATACGGAATATTTGGTTCCTCACTTTGTTTTGGAACGTTCCATAAAGTGACAAGGAGTTTTCAGAAGGGGATGAAGAGCTTACTAATGCCAAAACACAAAATTGAACCAGAACGCAAAGATTTTTTCTGAATGACAGTTTAAGTTAACTTTCTGCTCCGCATTCATTAGCCTTGGCGTTTAGGTGACATAAGTAACTATGTTTTAAGTGATACAGGTGCCACTGTCTGCAAAATTCAAGATTTGCAAGTATTTAGTGCACTCAACCCTATCTTACTGTGAGAGAGTTTAATTTTCCACAGATCTAATGTTTTCTTCCCCATTCAACTTATAATGATTGTCATTCAGAGATATCACTAAAACAAATCTTATGTCATTTGCATATCGTTTTATTAACGTCAGGTATTAAACTAGACTTTCTAAGTAAATAGTAGGCTATTCTGAGACGTACTTTATGTTGCTACCAAATAGATGTGAGTGCATATCCAAAATTTCTAATGTCAAAAGTGTTAATGAAACCTGCTTCGCTGGTTTCAATACAAATGACGTTCTAAAATGTCCCTAGTCGTTGAATCCTTCTTGTAGCCTAGGTTCAGATGGTTTGCCTAGCCTTATTCTTAGAAAATGTTCAGATATCCTGTGAAATCCTCTCATGGACATATTTAATGAATCTTTTTCCAGAAATGTCGTGCCGGATGTTTGGAAGGAAATTAAAATTGTACCTGTACCTAAGTTATCGACTGGAGCATCGATAAAATTTAGACCTATTGCTGTCACCTCCCATTTTCTGAAAACTATGGAAAAGTTACTCTTACTCAATCTTCAAACTTCAATTAAAGTCTTTAACGATCGCAAACAATTCGCTTACAAACAAAGAAGAAGTACTTTAGGTGCCGCTGCAGTCTTGCATCATAAAATTGTCTTCAGTTTACACAGTAGGGCTGAGTTTATTCACTACACCTTCCTAGAAAACACCACTGCTTTCGACTTAGTACCTACGGATATTTTGTTAAACAACCTTGCTGAAACTCAAACTGACTGTTCGGTAGTCAAATGGCTGCATTCTTATTTCTCAGGAAGAAAGTAGTACACTGTATGTCAAGCGAAGTCGTCCACTTCATTGCTTACTGAGATTGACGTCCCTCAGGGCGCTGTCGTTCCTCCTCTTCTCTTGTCTTTCTTCTTGCATCACTTGCCTCACTCTGATGATGAAATGAACTTTGTTAAGTATCCGGACGATCTTACTGTTTCACTGCCTGCCAACTCCCAGCTAGACCATACTAAGTTGAAGAGCTCTCTATCAGGAGTTAGCAAATGGTCTTCGTCTAATGGTCTTGAACTAAATCCTTAAAAATGTCAGACTGCTAATTTCAGTTTCCAATGTAAAAGAAAGTTAAATGAAACTGTTCGTTCCTATGAAAGTTGAAAACTTGATGACAGTTATATGGAAATCAAGTCTGAAGTTAAGTATCTTGGAATAATTCTCTCTTCTGATCTATTCTGGTCTTCCGATTTCCTAGTGATCTCTCAAATAATATTTCGTTTGACCTTTTACATTAAGGAGTTAAGGCAATCAGGCGTAACTCAACCCCCATTCCGTCAGTTTGCCAAATCATGCATCTTACCTATTCCTCTTCACTGTTCACCCCTACTCTTTCCTGGATCGCTTAGAAATGACTATGTCATACTTCGTAGAACTCTGAAGACTACCAGTAGGGCGAGTGGTATCCCATTGGGCCATATCGTTGACATCGTCATTGATGATGACCACTTGATTTCATGCAACAAATTTCCTGAAGAGATTTTGTCAGACTGTGAGCATCCACCGCAGCACCCACAGTACCCGCAGCTCCAACCTTGTGTCTCCTCAGGTAAAACAATAACTCATTTCAAAAGATTTTATGCGCTCACGTCTAAGAATAAATTCCCATGATACCATATTTGGCATGTATTTTATGTGATGAAAACAGTGTGACACTGTATCAACTAACTAACCTTCTTTGCACTACTAAATAAACCATTTCCTCCACTCTTATAACATCAAGCTTCATTGTTATTCTTATTCTTATATTTATAATCCTCGCGATTTTCTCATTTTTTACTTGTTTATTTTCTCAAAAGTGTAAACATCATTTAAGCTGTGTTATGACTGTTAATTTGGCCTTCCACTCACTATACTACGTCAACAGAACATCAGATTCAATAATGTATAATATCCTAAAATTTCCAACCTGAATTGACAATGCTTTCTGAAACAAACTCACTGTTATCACTATTATTCTCATTTTGTACTTCGGAAATTTGTTACTTTTCACCGTAAATGTGGACAAATTCCTCTTGTTACTTTTGTTTTAATTTTATTTATATATATTTGGGTAAATTTGATGTAATATTGTGACAAATGCTGAGAACTCCATTCTGTATTACAAGTACTTTTTTAAGATAAAACAGATTATTATTATTTTCAGTATTCTCACTGAATGGAGCTGATTATTAAATAGTAAGACAGAGGAGGAACACAAGCGTTTCAGGATTAAGTAACATTAAGTTATGTAACACATGTTTCCTTCCACTTGGGAACTTGGTTTTCACAACACTTAGAAAGTCAAAGTAACGTACAGCTACAACCACTAGACACAACAGATAAATGACTGATAAAAAAGTAGAAAAATACGTTGGTACGGCATCTTGCGCTAATTGTTCTAACTTGCTTCAGTTGAAATATATATATCTTTATATCAACAACAGACATATTACTTCTGTACAAAAGGTATGTTGACGATATCCTCATGGTCTGTCATAATTATTCCGATTTAAGTTGTATATAATAATAATAATTATTATTATATTTATATTTTGGTTACGGCTTGATGCCACACTGTATTTTCAGTACAAGTATGACATTTTCAGCACGGATATCGGTAGCCCAAATTTTACAGGCCGACCATAGATATTGGGTGTGCGTCGGCAGCGGATCGAACCTCGGACCATATGCATGGTCGGCGAGAGTCCTAACCACTGTGCCACCGACGCACAATTGCCATAATAATAATTGCCATCCACTAATTTTGTTCCCAATGGAGTTAGGAAATGAATCAATTATTTCATTTCCAGACGTAGAATCAGCAAGAAGGGATGATGGGGCTCTGAAAAGATCTATCTTTAAAAAACCATCGTGGAATGGCCAACTGACAAACTTCCAGTCGAAAAACAGCTTTCACAATCCTACTGGCAAACTGTATCAGAAGAATTTGAAGCGTTGACTGCCTAGAAGAACAGCTCTTATTTCTCAAAAATATCCTGGCTCAAGGCACATTTCATGAGGCAGAAAATGAAACTAAAGCGAAAAAGAGAAGAGTACAGACCAGCAACAAAAAAGAAACTGTATTTGAATCTAGGCTTCAGGGGACACTTGGTGGCACATATCCTAAAAAGGAAAATCTCTAGTTCCCTGGAGAAAACCTATCCTGTGATAACTATAAGAGTGATATTCTCTGGCCACCCACTGCTTTTGAGCAATGTGAAGAACAAAATCCTGCATATGACCACTCTAATATGTATCTATAAGTTCTCCTGATTGAGCATATCTAGATACGAAGGTCTTCAGAGAATATTACCCGGCATGACCGCAATGGGGAGGCGCTGGTTCAGTCAGAAGCTCCATAACTGAACACTTCTTCAGCACCTATCACAGTATCTTAACTAACTCATCATTCAAAGTCATTTACAGAGTAAAAATCCTACCACGGGAAGTGTAGTTCCAACTTCTTCGTATTGTAGAAGTCCTCATCATATGTATCGAAAAGCCGGAGTTATGTGTTCAAAAGAAATTAATCCAACCTCTTCGTTTACCGTGGATCCAACTCGGTTTTATCCCCTTCAGCTTTATTCATTTCAGTTATACGAATCTATTATCTCATTTTGTTTCCATGCTCATCTCGCTCACGCGTATATTAATTAAAAATCTATTATTCATATGGCTCAACTATTTTATAATCCTGTGTGACTTTGTTTCTAAGCCCCTTGTAATCTACATTTAATTACACCTTCCAACTTTCAAATCAAGTTGAAAGTTATCACCAACTTTAATCCCCTTCGTTATTATGTGGAATTAAATAATAACTGTACCTATGTAAACTTATGTAATCTAAGTGTGATTGTACAGCTTTTGAGAATGAAATCGTCGAGGAGAAATCTCCGTTGAACTTCCTATTCTTATTGCTCAAATATATATACAACTGTGGTCTTCAATTATCACACGCGGTATGTTAAAATGTGTTCCGAAACAAAAATAATCAAGAAATCTTATCAACATATGGATTTTAAGGATCTTACAGACTGCTGCTTAATACAAATGGGTCATTAAAAAGGTTTATTAAACGAGTTTTGACTGATGGCTAATTCAATGCGTTTTTTTACTGTATTAATACTTCATTACTACAGAACTTGAAGAAACTATCGCATACTCTGAATTCCCGGTCTCATTCATCTAGTGATATTCTCTGGTTGATTGGTAATCAGCTAAAGAACAGGACAGAGTATTTTCCTTACCTTGAAGGTGCGTAGGCTTTTTTGAACTCTCAGGAAGCACATTTTTATCACATTTAAAGCCTGATAAATAATAAAAAATAATTACTACTTTCAGGATAAAGTATAAATCAAATAGTGATGTAAACAAAAGTGCAAAAACAGAATTAACTTACTCTTCATTGCATTTCATTGAATTCTGTTTATTAATATTAAATACTACGCTCATACGTCTACCGACTCGTGTAATTAAATCAGCTGATCGAGTTGCTAAATCTGGTTGATTCGACATTGTATTAATTAACTTTATATATTTATGCTAATGTATGACGTTAAAGTAATTGAGTATTATTTGTGTATTAATTATCGAAATTATTATCTCACGGGAAAATTTACACGTGATTATATGTAGACATCCACAGAAGTCTTTCTTTAGAAAAACAGGAAGTTTTCAGGTACTGATGTGTTCAACTGACTGTGTTCCGTCTGTGTTCTTTATTGTCACAACTACTTCTACTGTTGCAGATAAGACTGTTGTCACTACTGATTAATTCAGTTTGAGTGTGAACAGAAAACAGTTTTTTTAACCTCGGAGAAATTTGAGAGAATTATTTACTCGGCCACTAATTTTAGCTTATTACAGTTAATGAGTTTCAAATGTGATACAGAACACAACTGCGTGTTGATATTAATTTATTTGACTGCAAGTAGAAATATTTTATTATTATTGCTATTGTTGTTGAAAGAATCATTCCTGTTTTATTCTTTTTTTAATGTTGAGTTTTGTTGCAATTATTCAACAACATGAATTCATTCATTTGATTGGTTGATTTTTCCACTCATCTACTTAGCCAGTCATTGGTACAACCATGCGATTGGAGAATTCCAGGTGGGAATTCACCCTGCAATTATTTAAACAAATAATGTTAATTCTGATTTTTAAAAATCTTTGCTTAAAATATGTTTTCTGACAATTAATATTATGCCGATCAAAATAATAAATGAATAGTCAAAGACACTAAGTTGACTGTATTCTTGCTGAAATTAACACTGGTAGGTGTGCTGTTCGACGGGATACTACCGCATAAATTTGTCCTGGTTTTATATGTTATTTTGCGTGTGCATATTCATTAGAATAATATTATCTTTTGGAGAAAAAACACTCCACTCATGTCTGAAACGTAAAGAAACGTGAACTGTTGCTTATTGCGTATACTAGATAACAATACTATAAACCTATATACATATATATATATAAATATATATATATCATATTATTGGTGAAACTCTCCAGCAGTATGTACTTACTCAAAGAAGCAGTCACTATCGTTGTGGCAACATAGCAATCCTCTAATTATAGAATACAGTCCAATGCAGTTCAGACAAAAGATATTTGCAAGAAAACACTTAAAATTATAATAATGACAAAACTAGTAGTAGTCATAACTGTTAGCACTTGTCTCCCTTGTCCACCCATCAGAAACACTACATTGTACAGTGCATCTTATGAGGAAATCAAATGTCACAGGAGATATCAACTGCCATGAATAAACTCGAGTATTTTCACTAAAGTTTTGAACATTTTCACTGAAGCAAAATGTACATGAAACTTATTTTTGCAGACAACTCATGCAGTAGACATGGTCGTTGCTGCAAGAACATTCGACCTGAAATGTTTGTAGATATTGCCTACAGACAGTTTTGTAACGAGGTGTTAATCTTGGATTACATATCGGGACAAAGAGAACGAAGTTAATTTATAAAATAATCATCCATTTTGCTCGAATAAACTAGTAAGAAACTTCATAATCTCATTTCACTTTCATATTGGACATAAGAATGATATGAGCAATCTTCAAAGCTAGGCATTACATTTGGCCTAATAGTTTTGGTGCTTCACCCGGTCACCTTTAGTACATAGCGGAAGCAGCTGTGATAAATGAAACCTATTTATTAATTCTCAGCACTAGTGTGAAGACAAGTACATTGGAAACCTCCAAACGATTTTCTCGTTACATGAAAGTCCTAGGTTCACTTGCGGGTAGAATAACCTATACAGCACTGAAGATTCCATAAACTAGGACTGAATACCTGTCCAGTGTCTCCCGGTTCTCAGTAGGGCTCTAACTGATTTAGATCCGTGTTCTAGCTCGAAATTCCTCCGTATGTTCATCTAATATTTTTTACGATGACCGTTTTTAGTTCTTAATTAGTTAACTTCCTGCTTCGTCCCTAGTGTCTCTCAGAAAAATAATTCTTTTGATCTGTCTACTCGTCACTGCCCTAAAAATAATCACTTATTCAATGACCTATTTAACAACTTCAAGACTTTGTAGCTCAGCTGTTTTGTCTACTCTTCCGTTTAGATTAATAAGTATCATTCCCTTCTCAAAATCTACCAACAAAAATCAGAATAAGGAAAACAACAGTATCTTCAGGATAACAACACAGTAGAGAAATAATCGGAGAAATGAAAAGATAATGATTTCCTACAGATTTACCTGTTTTTTAGAGAAGGGAACTCATCAGTGACAGTGGTTTCTGGTTTGTGATATTTTGTCAGCACTGACACAAAAATCTCCCAAACCTTCGATTCGTTTACTGACGAAATTGTAAAATGTGACTTGTTAACAGATTAAAAGTGGCTAGCGGGAGACCCCAGATCTGGGTTTTGCGCAAATTGTCACCTGTCAACAAAGTATATCTGTCGCATTGTTTGAAAAACCATATCACTCATACTGTATCTTAAAACGATAATATGCGGCAAGACTCAGAATACACAATACTCATTGCTGAAAGGATGGAAACTCATTGAATAAATTACTGCATTATTATACAGAATGCTCACGTCAGACTGAAATAAAGTCTTTTAGAAAGCTATTGAAAGTAGCTGAAAGCAATTGAATGTGTAGTGTTTCTTAAGGGCGTACATAATGTATTGTGAAGGGTGAAACACAATTTTTGATAAGCATAATCTCTACTCATACTGTGAATACTCCTTGCTAATATTAAGTGTTAGTTTTCACTTCGGCAAATTCAATACGCCACTGAATTTTGTCATACAAATCAAGGAAGAGGTTAGAGTTTGCTAGAAAAAAGTATACTATGATACTTTTCCTTCAGAACATATGTTTACCACATAAAGTTATCTCAGACATAATATAATCCAGGTAATTAGTAGACTGCTTTACATCAGTATGTTTAAAATTAGTGTCGTCTTCTCGGCAAACACTATTTTAGAACTTCATTTCTCAAAGAGAACTGGAAAGTTTTGACGGTTGTATCTTATCGTAGTATGAATGCTTGATACTTGGAGAGTATTTATCCATATTAGACAAATCGCTTTTTTGAGAAGTATAGATACCGTCTTTTACTGTTAGAAAAGCGTGTTGTTTATTGAGATTCAGATTATTGCATTATTTCTAAGAGGCATACACCAAAAGAATGAACCAACATTTAAGGATATTCCGACTGTGAATCTTCAAACTTGCTCGTAACACAATAAACACTGGAACAAAAAGTTGGCTGAAACAACAATCAGTAAGAGAGATTTGCTTCAGCATACTGCACAAGAACATTCAGATCTTTTTTGTTACAGTCATAATAAAAGTAAAAAATGCTATTCAACGATTGAAAGTCCAAAGTAAAAGAGAGTTTACTGAGTTCCGGATAACCTGTCGTCGCTTCCATTCATTTTCACTGTAGCTTTTTCTCTCATTGACTTTGTGCACCAGTGACCTATCTGTTCCACTACAAATTATGTCAGCTAATGGTTTATGTTGCTATCGGATAATTACTTTTTTTGAAAAAGTACTGTCTCTTTCTATCAGCAATCTCCTACTGAGCTTCCTTTACTGGAAGCCAAAATGTATGGAGAGGTTATAGTATTTTTCATTAAAAGACACAAACTGGTAAATTTCTGAAATTATTGAAGATGCCCATAAAAAATTTAATAGGCTGATTAATGAAAAAGAAATGTTTCTTTCGACAAATTCGTCATCAGGTCAACTATGTAGATAGGCGAATGGAGTGACATTGGGCTCTCCACTTGGTCTGAGTTTAGTAGATTTATTTCTGAGCAAACTGAAAAATGTTACTTTGAATAAGTTTATCAGAAAATTCTCACTTTATTATGGGCATATGAATGACACCTTTATTCTTTGTGAAAATGATTTGGACAGGAACGCAATAATGTCTGAATTCAATGAAGCACATTCAGCTATCCAATTCACGTGTGACGAAAAATCCTCTCCGGTATAAAAGAAATTCGGTAAAGACGCTCAGCTATAGGGTTAGAGCTATTTGTTCAGAAGATGAGATTAAAGAAGAACTTCAGGTTGTCTACGATACATCAACTGAAAATAGTTACTCTGAAAAGTTCATCGCTATAAACAGGTGGCCAACAAAGTAGAAAATAATTCTTCAATATCTGTTAAAAAGAAGCCTCTACATATATGATTACAACTCAAGGTGATATACCAAGTGAAATAATAACCAACAAGTTGAGTAAATCGATCCAAGCAATATTTAATGCTGAAAGGCTGCAGTCTATATTTTCCTGACAACTAATTGTGATTCCGAAACTGAAAGACGAAGTCCCTACGCCAGCCAACTCTTACTGTATCCATCAGTTTAGCTGCTCTTCTAGAGCCAGTTATACTGGCCGTTACCCCAGGAACCTAATTTTCCATGCCCGGGAATATGCACCGCTGCAAATAAATAAAGGTGTAGTCAAAATCGTTAACAGCATTTCTATATTAGACCATCTCGTGCACACAGGCCACAAAGTTTCTATCCTATGGGTATCAAATAAATTAACAAAGGCCTCTACATACTGAACACCCCAAACAGTAGAGGCCATTGCTAGTCGTCTAAAACAAATAGATTTCTGTGTACAGAAGAAACAGGTACATCAATTACTCCTATATCGACCTGCTGTTGAGCCTATAAGTTCATAAACTCTATGTTACTTCTCTTAATTTACCTGATACTTAGTTTAGTGTTCTATTATTGCAATCTTACAGATGATTTTGAAATGTGATCTGTCGATGCGACTAATTTAGTATAATTTGAAACATTTATGTTGTTAATAATAATATTTCTTTAATTATTACTGTCACATAAATGTAGGACGCGATGACGAATTTATCGAAGAGAATGTTCTTTGTTCATTCATCGTTCTTTTAAATTTTTGAATGTTTACTTACAGAATCGGCTGAGACTTCTATTGCATACAATGACTGACTTTTGTCCTTGGCAGACAATTTTACCTGAAGAATAATCAGAGCGGGAAACTGACATGATTAGTCAGATGTAATTGTAACGTTATGAGGTCATTGAGTGATAGTTCCGGCTATACAGGGACTTATTGGATGCCTTTGAAATGTTAGTTAAGAATGTATCACTGAAGGCTCTAGATGACACAGCTCAAGTCATTTTTAATGTGATTTCTCTTCATATTCTCCTAAATACTGAACATTTGTGAAACAAATAGGCAGGAAGAAATGGAGATGGATTGGCCATACTCTTAGGAAACCATCAAGTGACATCACTAGACAAGCCCTTGAGTGGAACCCGAAAGGGAAGCGGCGAGTTGGTCGTCAGTGCAAGGGTGACTTGGAGGAGGTCATGTGAAGAGGAGATGAAAACGTGTGGGCAGATTTGGAGCCAGGTGAAGACTCTAGCAGAGAACAGAACGCAATGGAGACGCACGGCTGAAGCCCTATGTTCCTCTAGGAATTAAAGGATAC